CTCCCCCAAAACACCCTTGTGTAGTTAGTTTTTGAATCCGAGGCCAGCCGGTGAGTGGCGGTGACGAGTGGGGATTGGGGGGTTCTCCGAGTGGGAACGTGTACAGGCTGGGGTGGGTGCAGTGTTTTCCAATAGATCTGAGATGTGAGAAATTTGTTGAAAAGTCCCTTTTATTTCATCCCCCTCCCCCCTCCGCCCCCCCATTCTGGGACCCCGGAGAAAAGTGGCGAGAAAGTTTTTCCCCTGCTGTCTCGCGCCTGTTGCCTGGAGGGGCCAGGGAGAGAGGCCTTGGAGAAGGGTGGGCTTGGTGCCTGCTGGGCGTGGTGGGCGCTGGGGGACCCCTTCAGCCCACAGGGGCCTTGCCGTTGCCCTGGAGAGCAGCAGAAGGTGCACGTGGGGTGACTTTTCCTGCCTTTCTCTCTGCATCCCCTCCTCGCAGGTGAAAACTTTGGGCCCATTCGGAAGCGACAACCTGACTATGTACATGGATTTAGTGGACGGCATCATTTTGAACCAAATCATGCTGCAAATGTAAGTTGTCTTCACGGTCGAAGGACAGAAATGATGCTTCAGAAGGTTTCATTTAAGGTTGTAGAGATGGAACCTGAGGTTGCTATGGGGAGGGTTCTTTGCACATGGCACCCGTTGGTATCTCAGTATCGGTGCCTTTTGCCCCCATGGCGGTCGGTTGGGGTATGAACTCCAGGACAGTGGGCTGGCAGCTTGTTTGATGAAGGAAATTTGGGATTGAAGGGACTGTCAAACGCTTGGTGTGGATGGTGCAGTTAACTTCAAGCTCAGGTGCTTAGCGTAGTTTAAGCAATGAAATTAAAAAAAAACTTTGGGGGGATCAAGGAACTGTAACGGGCAGTTTCTGGTTACAGGAAGTGTCAGGGGTGGGTGGGGAGCATCTGTGGGTGACTGAGGTTTCGCTCTCAGTTAGGAGCCCTTGTTTCTGGGCCCTTTCACTTCATCTTCCATTGTCAGTTGCCCCATAGCAAGTGCAGTTGGTTAAGTCGCTTCTCCTGAGCTGGATTTCAAGTCCCTGCGTCAGGAGAGGCTCGGAGTCAGAATGCTGTGGGGCCCGTTGGGAGCCTGCATCTTAAACAGGGTCTTGGTGGAAGTCACACTTGTTAGCGTGTATGTGCGACCACATCCTTTCTGCTGCCGAGCTCGGCAGAGCCTGTCTGGCGGACAGCCTGCCGCACTCGGTGTTGGCCCCTTCTGCTGCACGGTTTAACGCAGAAACTGCAGGGGATATATTGGAACTTAGTGTCAGTGTGGTTCTTAGGTACTTGAAGGGAAAGAAAACATCCTAATGTTCTCCGTGGATCAACCCCTTATGCTCACCTACTCACCTGCAACTAAGCAAGTTGTCATACTTGAGCCCAAACCCTCTAGCTAGTGAGAATCAGCTTCATTTGTGGCCCACGCAGGAGGAGGAGTCAGCTTTGGCACATTCAGAAAGTGGTTTAAATAGACTTACCTGAAAAGATTGAAATTTTCCAAGAACATGGCTCCTTTTATTTGAATAAATCATATGGTATCATGCTGTGGGGGAGACACTTCAGTTCTAATGTGTGTGTTTTTTCAAAAGCACTACCAACCTTACCAACCTGGTGTTTGATTAGGTTCTAAACGACAAATCTGTTAGCTTTGGCAGCACTCCTCTGAGAACACTGACGAAAATGGGTTTTCCTGGGGTTGTCCCGTGGCATGGTCAAGTTCTGGCAACTACCCTACCCCCCCATTCTGTTAGACCCCGAAAATTACTGGATTCCACTGGTGCCGTGATCAGTGAAACTTCAACATGTCCATACCCAAGCCCAAGAGTGTTTAATTAAAAAATATCAGCAGTGTCCCCAGCCTTTTCATTCAGCTTTTACACCCAGGCGGAGGCAGAACAAAAGCCCGGGGACTGTTTCTCTTTCTTCCCTGACCTTTGGAATTCCTGCAGCTTTTACCACTTGCTTGTAAATCAGGAAAGCCTGTTGGACGTTCCTTTGAGAAATGCCAGCTCATCACTCGTTCACTTGGCCAGTGGCTAAATTCAGTTTGAAGGGCTTCTGCCTTCCCCTTGACAATTTCAAATGTTATTTTCTCCTCAGTGGTTTGCCAGGGTACTCAGTTTAGAAGTGAGAGTTGACTGGTTTGTAGGTCTTAAGGCCTTAAGCAGTGCTTCTGGGTCTTTCTGGTCAGGGCCAGGCACAGAAAAGGGACAACAGGGAAGCCATTTGGGTGACTTTCCAGAACAAGGAAATCAAGGACGGAGTGGCACCAGCAGCCCATAGTTTACTGATTTGGTGATCAGAATAACCCTGCCCTAGGTGGTAGAAATGAGAACATTAGCTGCCTTTGGAAGTGGGTGAGGATTGACTGGAAAAGGGGTACAGGAGAACTGGGAGTATTCTATATAATGATTAGACTATGTTTTATTTTTCAAAACTCATCAAGCATGTAACTTAAGCTATATGCATTTTACTGTATGTAAAAATTCCCTCAATTAAAAAAAAAAAATTCCAGCTCTACACCTAGGTAGCCAGCCTGGTTTTGAAGTCTGGGTATCTCTCATACTAGCTGCCTAATGCTGGGCATGGCACTCATCACCTCAGTTTTCTCATCTATAAAATGGGAAGTAAAGTACCTCTCTTAAGAGATGGTTGTGAGGATTAAATGAGATGATGTGTGAACATTTAGCACAGTGCCTGCCACTTAAAAGGTGGTAGTGTCAGTTACTCGCTTATGTATATACCATCCTAATCCAGAAAGGATTTGAGGCATCCCGTAAGAGTAGAGTTTTTTCCTTTAGTCTTTCTCCCACATTCTTAGTCTCCTAGATTACTGTGTAATTCTTAGCCTTAGCCCTCTCCCAGTGAGATCTGTGGTAGAACTGGACTCTGGGACCCATGTCCTAGCCCCACATCTGACACTATACTTAAGCTAAGCCTCTGTTTTCACTTCTGCCAAATGGAGAAATGTCAGCTAACTAGCAGGTAAGGCTTTTCTGCTTTATCTCCCATGCTGGGAGCTTCGATGGTGTGCTAGTCACCTATTTTGATAAATTCTCAGGCAGAACCTGAGAAAAGGGAGCAGTATGCTAACTGGCTTGCTGGAGCTCAGATAAGAGGCGTGTTACCTAACACTTCCGAGCCATATGGAGGCTGGCTGGGGTTCACGTGACTGCACCTGGCCATTGTCTCTGGCAACTGAAGAAGGCTGCGGTAGTAGTCTCTTGGCCCTGGCCTGCCGGTGACATCAGTGCCTGGAAGCAGGAAAGCCCTGTGAGCTCAGCTTTCAGGGGAGGCCCGGTCTAGGAGAATTCCTGAATGAAAGTGAGGCACTGAGTGGCATGGATGGAGATGCATGGGAAACTGGCTGAATAGCTCCTCTGTAAATGCAGAGTCTCTCGGTACCTACGGCACCCAGGGGAAAAGAAGGTGTCTGATTTGTGTGGGACACATTTTTCATTGTCTCATAGGAAAATTACCTAGGAGCTTTGACTCTAACATTGGGCAGGCAAGTTCAGACCCCCCTCTGCCACCTACCTTGGGCAAATTCCTTGAACTCCCTATGCCTCCATTTCCTGATCTGTAATAAGGGGATGGTAACTTTATAGATTTGGAGAAGATTTAAAAAGATCATGTATATGGAAAATGCCCAGCAAATGCCAATCATGGTTGTTAGACTGAGGCCCAGAACTGGTTTGTGTGTGTGTGTGTGTGCCCGAATGCATGTGCTGGTGTGCATGTACATGTGAGAATGGACACCTTTGATTTGATGCAGATTGGAATCAGCAGCCCTTGATCTGTTTCCTGCAGCACGTAAAGGAGGGGGTTACGCAGTCCTGGGCAGAGTGGGGATAGACCTTCTTTAACCATAGTTGTTTCGATTTGGTTCTTAATAACCTTTCTTTACCCTGTTCACCTTAAAGGAGGGAGTATTAATTAATGATCATGATAATTAGTCTAATTGCTCATAGAGTAAATGTCGGGGCTCTTTTGCATTGTTGTTTCAGTTAGCTGCTGCTCTTCAAAACTGGTGGGAAAAGCAGAGCTGGTCAGAGCCCAGCCTGACCCTGGGTACGTGTAGTGTCTTTTCTGTGCAGTGAGCTTCCCTGTGTGTGCTGAGGCCCTGAGGCTCCTGGCACTCCTGGGGTGGCCCCATCTGATTTAAATGAAAGCTGAGGCCACAGTAACAACAAAACAGAAAAAGCCCTGCATGTTCTCTGAGTTCTGCTGTGTTAAGAAGAACATTTGTCACTTTATGAAATTGCTTCTTATCTCTTAATGTACTATAGTCAAGGGAGAATTGCATCTTCAAGGTAAATTACTGTGTAATGCTAGGCATACTTCTGTAGCCCAAAGTGCCTTTGCTGTTTAAATTCCGAATGCCTCCTCTATTCCTAAATTAATTTCCACTGAACTGTTAACCCTTTATTTCCTCAGTAATGAATGACTTCATGAGAAACATGTAATGTTTAGACAGCTTGGCCAGACTCTATTACTGTGTGGGGGCAGTAAGAAATGTTGTCACATGCCAGTTGAAAAGAGGTCCTCTGGTTTCCCCAAGGTACCCATGTGACTGTTTTAGGGGATACAGGATGATTGAATAAAATCCATGGCTGAGTGTTGCATGTAATGCGTAAAGGGATTCTCATACAATGCAATGTGGGGACTCAGTGTAGCTATCAAATATTTACTTAATGGTTGAATTACATTTAATTGATTTTTTGAACTAAAATGGTGCCATGTTGGACTTCTGAAAGAACCAGAGCAGGAAAGGTGATTCAAATAGAAGATCCTCACCCTTTTCTTCAGCCAGAAGATTGGCAGGCACCATCACGTCTCCAGCTGCCCTTGGTTGCTCCAAGCCCTTCTCAGATTTTTCCTTGAGAATCTTTTTCTTCTTCTGTATTTTCTTTAACTTGTAGAACTCTTCCCGCTCTCTTTCATCCAGCTCTGTGATGATATAATCCAGGGTATGTTCAATCCGGGACATGATGACATGTTCAGTGGCATTTACACACCTGTTGGTTATCTTAATAGCTTCATCACAAGCAACAAAGGAAGGCTGCAACAAGGCTAGTTCCACCAGTAGTTCCATTGCTTTGGCATAATTCCTCAGTTAATTTAGCCAATTGTTCCCACCACTGGCTAAACCGGTCAGCTCATAACTGTAGTTCCTTCAGGGTAATGCTCAAATACTGGCCGAGTAACACCTGCTACATTCTCTCTCTTCACTCAGATCTTCACTTGGGCTTTATTTACGTTTTGGATAACTGTGGCTCTAAGGCCCCTGCTCTGAACTTGCCCTCAGTGAGTGAAGGGCAACCCCTCTCATCACTTCACCCATCAATATTGTAGTCTCTGTAATCTTTAGGATCTGTCCAAATCGAAGAGTTAAGGCGTCAGATTTTTTCTTCAGGAGGTTTTGACCTGTCTGTGCATCTTTTACTCGAGCCTCCATGATGGTCTGTGCTATTCGCCAGGGAAAGATTTCAGTTTGGCTCGGGTTTCCAGTTGGGCAATCAAGGCTGCCACAGACCCAGCCACAGTGTCTTCCTCTACCAGGGTTATCTGGTTGTATACTGGTTGAATTCTTTAATTTTTTATTGTTGAGAGAATTAGAGATGTCCCACGTTTTCCCCCCTTTGCTCCCTTCTACCCATCTCCCCTCCCCCCCAGGCCCTTACCTGTCTATTGTCTGTGTCCATGGGCTATGCATTTATGCTAATGTTTTTAATTTTACTTCTTGGACTTTTAGAGAGAAAGAGAAAGGGGGAGAGGGAGAGAAACATCGATTTGTTGTTCCACTTATTTATGCATTCATTAGTTGCTTCTTATATGTGTCCTGACCGGAGATCGAACCTGCAACCTTGGCATTTTGGGATGATGGTCTAACCAAATGAGCTACCCAGCCAGGGCCTTATAAGCTCTTTGGTTAATCTCTTCCTGCCCTCCTTCCCGCCTCCCCTCTGAGATCTGTCCGTCTGTTTCATGCTGCCATGTCTGGTCATATCTTGTTCGTCAGTTTATTTTGTTCATTAGATTCCACATATAAGTGAGATCATGTAATATTTGTCTTTCTCTGACTGGCTTATTTCGCTTAGCATAATGTGCTTGTTTTTCTTAATTGTACTTCTAATGACATTTGAAATTATTTCTACTTGGAGATTTTTTTTTCTCTTTGTCAATTTTGTATTAATTGTTGACTTGGAATGAGCCGAATGGCATTGAGACTGATTTCCATTCCTCCCCAAACTCCCCTTCATTACCGAGGGGGGTGGGTTACTCTGGGAAGAGGAAGAGGCCTGCCTCTCTTCCATCAGACCAGCTCCCAGGAGGCTCTGCGCCCTTATCACAGGGCTCGGATGACAGATGAAACCGTGAACACAGGCCCCATTTGAATTAGACACCCCTCCCTGTGTCTTGGGAGAGTAACTTCTGGAGGGACTTTGTTATGAAAAGCAGGAAAGGTGGCAGCTAAATCATCCTATTGAGTCTGTTCTTTTCAGATAGGAAACCTTTTTTGACATTGAGAATTTTGAGAAATACACTATACATATATAGATGAGTCAAATTATAAGTCACCTGATTCAGATTTCTAGCTTCATCACGACCAGACCTAACTTTTGCCTGAGAGTGGAAAATAAATTACCCTTTGGGGGTTTCCCACATGAAATACTTGTGTCTCTACTGTTAGCATTTCTCGTAGGCTGCATTGTATACCATATAGTGCCATGGACTAAAGATGTCGGTTTTTCCAGGTGGAATTGTGTCCCTGGAATGTAAAATCACAGGCAGGACCAGTGCTGGTGACAGAGGAGGGGAACCCATGGGAAATAGAACATTAATGATTTTTATTGATTTAAGTCAGAAAATGTACCATTTTTCCCCTTTTTCTTCCTTGATGGGTCACATATTTTAGTGTGTTTAGCTTTTAAACTTTTTAGTCGTGAAATATATTTTGTGGTGGGTTATTGATTTATGCACAGTGTAACTTTTTGGGTTTGCATTGACATTTGGTGGTGGTTTATGGATGCTGCTAATAGTAGGAATGGAAATGGCATTGAGTATGGGCCTGAGGAGCGCTAGGAATTTGTTGTAGGGGCAGGAGTGGTGTGGCTCGTCTAAGATCCATGGCTCAGCAGTGGCAGAATTAGGTTTGACTTGAGCCATACTTGTTACAGCCTCACACTCACCTAGACTTGGAGAGGCCTGCGTACCGCTGGGAAGGGAGGTGCGGCCAACGCTGGGAGACGCCATTTCCATTCTCATGTTTCTTCCCCTAGAGACCCCAGGCCTACAAATCAACGCATCAACCAGCACGTCAACAACGATGTGAACCTTCGAATTCAGAACTTGACCATCCTGGTGAGAAACATTAAGACCTACTACCAGGTAAGGGCAGTTCTCAGTTCCCCAGGAGTTCTGTGCCCCTGGCAGTGTCGTCACTCACACGGTTTCCCCGCAGGAAGCCTGGAGGAAGTGGTGTTCATGGTCAGGCATCTAGTTGCTGACACTTGGTGTGTGTTTTTCACTTGCATCTTTTTTTCCCATTCTGAGAAGAGTCAGGTGTTGATTGCTTTACTTTGTCCAGTGAGTGCTCTTTGAGTGGTGTGCAAAGCATTGGTATTTGGTGCTGTGAGGGCCTCAGAGGTGGGCCTCGGGTCGCCACTGTGGCCCCAAGCACCAGTCACATGGGGAGTGGCTGGAGTGGGCTCCAGGAGGGGCACCCTGATGTGGTTATCGTCCACAGCTCAGCGAGTCTTTGTACAGCAGCAGTTCAAGGGGCTGATGGAGATATGGCTCCAAAGAAGGGTTATGTTGGGCCAGGACTATAATCTACAAGCCTCCAGCTTGCAGACAAGAGCACTAGAGTGAGTTCACCATGTAGAGTGTTCACTCGTCAAGTACTCACCATATCTCATTAGCAGATAGTGGGTAGGATGACCTGATGGGGAAGGGCTGTTAAAATCCCCATTCCAGCCCTGGCAGGTGTGGCTCAGTGGTTAGAGTGTTGGCCCGCACACCAAAGGGTCTCAGGTTCGATTCCAGGTCAAGGGCACGTACCTGGGTTGTAGGTTTGCTCCTTGCCCCAGGCGGGGCTCATGCAGGAGGCAACCAGTTGATGTGTCTCTCTCACATCAATGTTTCTCTCTCTCTTTCTCCCTCCTTCCCTCCCTTCTATTCTTTGAAAAGCAATGGAAAAAATGTCCACAGGTGAGGATAACAAAACAGAACTTCCTGTCTCAGCCTTGGGAAGTTGGGTGAAGTCTTTGATGTTTATGGTGTTTATATGGACAGCACTGATAAAATATGAACTTAAACTATCCGCAGGGCTGTGGTTTTCAAACTTTTTCTTAGCACTGAGACTTTTTCCCCTATATGAGTTTTTGTAAGATCTCAGGTGAAGCCCAATGACTCTGATTGACTTGGGGGCTTGGGGACCCTAGTGCCTACTGCTCAGCCCCCTCCTCTCCCTCCAGGGCATCTCTGTGGGTTCCTGGGACCCCAGGGAACATGATTTAAGAACCACTCAGTGCTCAACAAAACAAATCCCAGATTTATGCCAGACTCCGCCTGAGACCTGTTCTTAGTGCTCAGCTGTGTTCGTTCCATGGCCTGTTGGCAGCACAGCACCCTGACTCCCTGAGCAGCCTCTGGGAGGCTTACAACCAGCCCCATCCTTTTACTTAGAAATGCCAGCTGCACTGAGGAGTGGGCCAGGAGTCAGGGCGGGGCCTGGGAGAGCTCGGACAGTGGGGCTGAAGTGGCTTCATTTCTTTGAGGGGAGCCACACTCAGGGCCAGGCATGCTGTAGGCTGGTGGGTTTAAGCTAGTGCTGCCCTTGTGATGACCACAGGCAGGAGAAGCTGGGCAAAGGTGGTGATGCTGCCATTGAACTTGGGCCTGGGTGTGGAGGGGGCTTGATTCCTGGCTTTAGGCACTGTTTGTGGTGAGTGGGTGCTTTCGATGCTGCGTGCTAAGTGCCAGGGGAAGCAGATGGTGCTGACAGTTCAAGAGATAAGACTCCTAACTCAGGCTGCATGGGGGGCAGTCAGGGAAGGCTTCTTGGAGGAAGTGACACCTGAGTAGAATTATGGTGGGATTTGAGTTTCCAAGTTTGGAGGGTTATGGGAAGGAGTAAAGGAGAAAGGGCATTGAGGTGGAGGAAGTCCTGGAGGCACAAGACATTTCTGTCCCCCATCTGTCATAGCACGTGCCACAGTTGCTTGGATGAAGGCCTGTTTCACCAAGTTTCAGATGAATCAAAACCAGGGAGATGTCAGTGTGGGACTCTTGACGGGTAGGCCTCCTGCCTCAGGTGTCGTGGGAGGTAATAACCTCTCCTTTATGGCAGCCATGAAGGCCTCAAGCAGAGGTGAGGTTTCTGAGGCTCTCTGTGAGCAGCCCAGAGCAGCCAGGCTCTGGTGCAAGCTGTTTGGCTACGCACATGCCATGGCCTTGTCTCACTGGTCGAGTAGGGTGCACACCGATGGTGACCCGCAGCCCAGACAGTCAAGTCTGGACTGGCCAAGGGGGCTTGACACTGCTGGCACCATGTCGAATTGCAGGCAGTTTGCTGCTCTTGGGGTACTGTGTAGAGCTCCAGAGTATGGTAACCAGCACAGGAGGGAAAAGACTGCCAGTCCACCCTCAAGGGCCCAGAGAGAAGCACAGGTAGAAAGGAAGACCCTGTCTCCTCACTCGGGTTCTGCGCCGTTTGCTCTTTGAGAGCAGGGCTGGTGTGCGTGGCAGCCGCAGCCCGCAGCCCAGAGTAAATGTTTGCCGAAGCTCTTGCTAAAGGCCACAGAGCATCCCTGCCCCTTGGTCCTGTTCATAAGGAGAAAGCCACGAGGCACTTGCTTTTTGGGCTGACACAGGTAGACGTAGGGAGGGTTGTACTGTGTATTTTTTCCTTCCGAGTTATTGTAAAATAAAGTTGAAATCTGGAAATACAAGTAATATGTGCTTTTTATAAACAGCTTGGAAAACAAACAAGTAACAAGAAAAAAGAACTACCCACAATCCCACCGCTGAAATACAATCAGTGTGAGCAGTTTTAGTGTTTCCTCCCAGTGTTTGCATGAATAGTTTTTGTTTCACGCCGTTGTGGTCGGGCCTTATATACAATTGCATATCCTGTCTTTTTTCCCTCCCATCTGACATTATAGCATAATTGGTTATTATTATAAAGCGACATTCAAGAAAGTTTTCCAGAAGGACTGCCGGGTGTCCCCTTGTTACGAGGGCTTGGATGAAGCGAAACAGATATTGTTCCTTACTCTGACCAGGGAGGGTGAAAAGTCACTCCCAAGCCTGGGACTCCCTTCTTCCCCTGGCTTTCCAGTTGGACACAGCAAGGTTACAGAAACCTGCCCTGGGTCTTGTTTGCCAAGCAGCAGTTCTGCCACCCTGGCTGTCCTTTTCCAAGGTATCATGGGGCAGGGACAGTTAGGAAGGCCAGGGCCTCTCTTAAATAGCATGGGCTTGTTCCACAAGAAGCTCAGATTTTGCCTTTGAAAACCTCTGGAGACTGTGTCCTTGACCCTTTTCAGAGGACAGAAGGTGGGTGAGGAGCAGCATGGCCAGGTTCAGTCTGACCACCAGGGTCTCAGCCGGGGTCTCAGGCCTCGTCCTGACCTGTTGCTTGGACTCTTCTGGGGTTGGGTCAGGAATCTGTATTTTCAGAAGTTCCCCTACTGAGCCTCACCATCCTTCCTATCGCACTGGGAATCAGTGGGCTAGATCAGCAGTAGCAGCATCACCTGGGAACGTGTTAGAAAAATGTCTGACAATCTGCATTTCTAACAAGCCCCTCCCAAGACCTGCCATCTGTCCTAACAAGCCCTGCAGGGGATGCTGCTGCCCCCTCACATGGGAGCAATTAGGTTATAGAGTGTCCCTAGTGATGTCTGGAAGAGGCACCTTCAGCTAGTCCTCCTGAGAGAGTTCAGTTCCCACCAGGTGACTCCTCTCTGTCACATACAGTGGCCAAGCATCTCATCTGCCCTGGGACAGGAAGGCTGGGTCCTGGCAGCCCTCTGAGGAGAAGCCACAGTGATGAGGAGGTGACCAGAGGGGTTACTGAGGGAGCTGCCGGGTAGGAACAGAGGAAGCCAGAGTTGGGCAGGGCCTTGGGGAGAGCACCTGGTTCAGTCCCTGCATTTTAAAAAAGAAAGGCTGATCAGGTCGGGGGTTGGGGGGGGGGGCCACCAGCTCCAGGGCAGGCACTCCAAAATAGTGAGAGGTCTGGAGGAAAGACGAGCCTGGAGCATAGTGGTTCATTTTTTATATCAGAGCCTGGAGTTCTTACATTAAACAGATTCATTCGATAGTGGAGCCAGTAGGAAAATAAGGCCAATATAGCAGAAATCCTGTGCAACAAATACAGACACATGTTTACTCTCTGGGGGTTGTGCATTGTTTCCCACTGCCATTCCCTGCCTTGGCACCTGCAATCTTGCCCTTTCTCTTGACAGTTAGGGCCTGATTGTCATGTGAAGTTGCTGGGTTTCTCTGGCTTAATGGTGGTGGGAGACACTTCAGGCAGCTGCCTGGATAACCCTGTGTCTGTTGATGGAGATGTGCATCTTTGTTTTGAGTCCACGTAGGGATGTGGATCCTGAAATCGGGACCCTTAGATGGATGTAAGGACCTAACTGCAGGACTGACTCTGAAATGGGAAATTGGCTGAATTTCTTAGAGCTCCCCCCCTCATTGACCCTGCCCTGGGACAAGTGCATTCCTTCTCTGAGCCTCTGAGTTCTCATCTGTCAAAAAGAGGATGGGCCCTGATATTTCACAGTCACACGATGGTCAGAGATGACCAAGATTTAGAGTTACGATCACCTCGAGGAAGCTTTGTTTTATGAGTTCCTTGAACTTGGATCTTTTTTTTTTCTTCTTCTTTTTAAAATATATCTTTATTGATTTCAGAGAGAGGAAAGGAGAGGGGGAGACAGAGAGAAACATGAATGATGAGAGTCATTGATCGGCTGCCTCCTGCACGCCCCTGACTGGGGATTGAGCCCGCAACCCGGGAATCGAACCCCAGTCGCCTAGATCCTAGGCCGATGCTCAACTGCTGAGCCATGCCCAGCAGGGCAAACTTGGCTCTTCTGACTTCTGGTTTCTCACCATGGTTAGAAGGCTCAGCAGACCCCAAATATTGTTCTTTTTGGCCCTTAGCATGCTTTTATTACATTTTAGCTGTTATTATTAGCTGATACTGGATTTGTTGGGCTTTTTTTAAAATTTATTTTTATTGTTGAGAGTATTACAGATGTCCCCCACTTCCCCCTCTTTGCCCTCCCCCCAGATATTGTTCTTTATCTTAAAAGAAACGGTGGAAGAAATAGTCTGGGGTTGCCTTATCTTCTGTCATTACTTTAGAA